CTGCCAAAACAGCTGGGTAGATTTTCACCAAACTTGGAGGAGGTGTTTGGAAACGTCTCACTGAAAACACAGGCTGTGCTGTGAGTGCAAAATTTACTCTGGGGGCACTTAGGGGTGGTGCCTCTCAAAGGCTGAGGTGTTTTTCCTCAGGGCGGCTGAAGCGGACGGACAGAGAGGCCACGTGGCTCATGGCTGGAGGAGACCACAGCGGGCGGGGGCGGAGAGACAATGGTTTAGGCATGAGCCCCAAATCAAAGTCACTGGGACAGATGTTGTCAACTGCCCGTGTTGATTTGCAATGTAACCACTCCTTCCACGGGCAACCAACAGTCCGACATGGAGAGTTTCTTGTGAGAAGCAGCAGAAACATGTCGATTTAACTAAGGGAAAGGCTTCCCCAGAGCCACAGCCATCACAGTGGTCATGAGGGTAATGACAAGGACCGTCAACATTTACCAACCCCCTATTCTCTGGACACTGCTTGTCCCCATAAATTCCCACAAAGACCTCTGTGACATAGGGATTAATATTTCCATTTTATAAAGGAAGAAACAGTTACACAGTTTGCCCAGCATTACTCTCATTTGCAAATAAGCGGCAGAGTCAGAATTCCAACTCAGGCCCACGTGACTCCAACTTCGCCTTGACTGTGCACCACACAGACCATGGCTAGGCTGCATCCGGTGACGCCAGCAGAACCAAGATATGAACCCAGGTAATCTGACCCCATGGTCAGCACCCTTCCCACCCCATCAGAGTGGGAATCAGCACAAGAAGCCTGTACCAGATAGGAGGTACTCATGGAACCTCTGTGGAGGTTCTGAGAACACAGCAGGGTCCTAGGAAGGCCCCTGGATGGGGCAAGAAGGGCAGGGGCATCACCATAAAAGTCAGTGTAGATTTCAGGCTAGAGAGCCCTGAGTTCAAACCCCATCTTTGTTTTTCTCCGCAGTCCTATCTTGCCTACAGAAAGTCCACTTCTCGGTATATACCCAAGGGAACTCAAAACATATATTCATACAAAAACGTGTACACAAATGTTCATAGCAGCATTATTCACAACAGCCCAAAGTGGAAACAACCCAATGTCAATCAGCTGTTGAGTGGACAGATAAAGTGTGCTACATCCATACAGCAGGTCATAAAAAAGAATGGAATACTGATGCATACTTCAACATACATAAACCTTGAAAACATTATGCTAAGTGAAAGAAGTCAGTCACAAAAGCTCACATATTGCATGGTTCCATTTATGTGAAATTTCCAGAACTGGCCAATCCATAGAGACAGAAAGGCAATTAGTGGTTGCCATGGGCTAGAGGGAAGGGTGAATGAGGAGTGACTGCTAACAGATATAGGGGTTCTTTTGGGGACAATGGAAATGTTGCATTTTTAATGTGTTATGAATATATTAAAAAACACTGAATTGTACACTTTAAAATGGTGACTTTTGGTCCTGGCCAGGTAGCTCAATTGTTTAGAGCAATGTTCTGATTATGTCAAGGTTATGGGTTCGATCCCCAGTCAGGGAACAACCAAAGAATGCATAAATAAGAGGAACAACAAATTGATGTTTCTCTCTCTCTCTAAAATCAACCCAAAAATTAAAAATTGTAAAAATAAATAAAGTGACTTTTATGATATGTGGATTATATTACAATTTAAAAATTACCAAAAAGATGACTGACTATAAAACAGGGACAACACCACTATGTACGCTGGGAAGCTGCTGTCACCCAACATGAGGACATACATACAATGTTTGGTGTGGTGCCTGGTACAGAGCAAGCCCTCAGACACAGCAGCTATATTATAATCATGTCAACACTGACGTTGGCTCTCCGCCTAAAATACAAGAAGGGAGAGTGATACTGATGAGGGAGAGGCTGGTGTTATGATTCTTGAGCTGCAGCCCAGCTGGGCAACAGTGCCACCGCAGAGCAGGGCTGGGGCTGGCCACCCTCCCTTCTGCGTGTGAAGAGCAATCTCCATGGTAACCACATCAGCTCAGGCCAGGGGATCCTTTTCCCAGCCGGGTGACAGCATTGCCACAGCAACCTGACAGGATGGCAAAGGCAGATCTTGATGATGCTCTGGCAGAAGAATTGCTAAGGGACCCTCGTCTCCATAGAAACCATGTGAGAAGGAGAGGGAGGAGGGAGAGGACAATCAGCAAATAAACACGGGGCCATGCCTCTGTGCCCAGATCCTGGGACACCAAGGGGCACACCAAGGAGAGGGCTAGACCAGCTTTGCTGACATTTGCCTTCAGTCTCCTGAGCACCTACTGTGTGCTAGGCACCTCAAAGGTCCTGTACACGCTTGACTGCATTTAAAATTTCACAAATAATACTCATATGCATATTATTGTTAAAAAACAAGCAAACCTAACTACAGCACTAGCAGTGTAAAAGCAAAAGTCATTTTTCACCCTACTCCCACTCTAATTCTTCAGTTCAGTGGGTTCTCCTCCAGACTTCGTTATACATTTGCATATATACATGCTTTAAAACCAGTTTGTTTTGTATGGCTTTTCCTGCTTAACTATGTACCTTGGGGATCTTTCCATGTCAATACACACAGTTATAAAGTTTACCCTTGAATAACAAAAGGGTTCGGGGCACTGACTTGCCCCCATGCAATCGAAAATCCACATACAACTTTTGACTCCTGAAAAATCTTAACTACTAATAGCTTACTGTTGATCAGAAGCCTTACCAATAACATAAACCACTGATGAACACCTGTATTATATGTATTATATACTGTATTCTTACAACAAAGTAATCTAGAGAAAAGAAAATGGTATTAAGAAAAACATAAAAGAGAGAAAGTACATTCACAATATTTATTGAAAAAAATTCACGTATAAATAGACCTGCACGATTTAAACCTGTGTTGTTCAAAGATCAACTGTATTTGTCTACGTTATTTATTTTTATTGCAGTAAAGTATACGTAATAGAAGATTCACCATTTTAACTGTATTTTCTTTTTTGTCGTGCTCAAATATACCTAACAAAATTTACCATTTTTAGCTATTTCAAGTGCGCCAATCAGCGGCATTGAGTATATTCGCATTGTCACCAACGATCGCCACCGTTCACCTCCTGAACTTTTTCATCGTTCCAGATACAAACTCTGTAGCCATTAAACACTGACGCCCCATTCCCTTTCCCTCTAGTCTCTGGTAACCACCATTCTACTTTCTGTCTGCATGAATCTGACTACCCTAAGTATTTCATATAAATGGAATAATAGTATTTGTCCTTTTGTGTCTGGCTTATTTTACTTACCGTCATTTCTTTAAAGTTCATCCACGTTGTAGCCTACGTCAGAATTTACTTCCTGGGCAATAGTCCACTGTATGTACACACTATGTTTTTGTTTGCCCGTCAACAGACATTTGGGGTGCTTATACCTTTTAGCCACTGTGAATAATGCTGCTGTGAATGCGGAGGTACAAACATCTGCCTGTGTCCCAGCTTCCAAGTCTTGGCTATAGACCCAGGAGTGGAACTGCTGGCTTATTTGGTCATTCTATGCTTAACGTTTGCAGTAACTGCCACATTACCTTATTCTTTTCTTCTTCATCCTGTTCCGTGCTTACCCAATCTTATTCATAATCATAAACAACCTTGTGAACTGGGTACTATTATTATCCTGATGTCACAGAAGAAGAAACTGAGACTTAGAGAGGGGAAGTGGCTCCAGGGACATCTCTGCCAAGGACAGGCTGGGTGAGCTCAAGCAAGCTGCTGTCCCTCTCTGTGCCTCAGTTTCCTTTCTGTCACCGTAGGAACAGGCTGACCTCCAGGGCACTTTCTCAAATTGTCTCCCCTTCTCTCTACCAAGGGTGGCAGCAATGAGATATGAGAAGAAGATGGCCTGTGCTCTGGGCCAGGCCTGGGGCGGCAGGAGGCTGCCTGAGAGAGGGGGCCTCCCACCCAGCCCTGGAGACAGGCAGAGTTCCACAGCAGCCCTTAGCAGCAAATGCCCGGTCTCAACACTGAGAAGCCGCTGGCACATCACACCAACACGCTCGGGGGAAGGGCAACTGAAGGGCTTCTCTGGCTCGGGGCTGTGGCTGTCTCAGCCCTGGAACGCTGGCATGCCTGCCCTTGGGGAAGGTGAGGAGTGTGCCCCAGAACAATGTACGATCCTTCTGAGCAGCCAGACAGCTGAGGCCCAGCCACGCTTCTGAGGCCAGAAGCTACCCCAGGCTGCCTGGGACACAGACCCCTGGAATCTGGAGAATTCCAGCCCTTAGAGGTCACTGAGGCTAATGGTTTCCAATCAGCATTCTGCAGAGCCCACAGGGCCCTGTGTGACCTCGAGAACGTCCATCCCTCTCGGGGGCCGTTTTCTCATTCAGAAAACGAGTAAGATCATAACCTCATTAGGCCTTTATGAAAACTGTTGAGATAAAGTGTCCAGTATGGTGTTTAACAGCAGAAGGAAGAAAGGACATGCCAGGTGGAGGAACTGGCATGATCCAAGACAGAGAGGCTGGTGTCTAGGGGCCATATCAGGAAGTGTCTAGATACACTGGCCAGAGCCCCAGCCCGGCCCTGAGCGGCGGTGCCTGGCAGTCCCTGAGGCATGTACACAAAAATTATTTCAGCTTGTCCTCACAATGGCTGGGGCATTACTGTCCCATTCTATGTATGAGGAAACTAAGGCACAGAGGGCCGGCCCCATGCTGGGCACGGTGGCACATCTGCTCCATTAATCCCCCCGAAGGAGTGGTTCTGTGATGGATGACTTGTCTCCTGCATTCGTCTGCGGGCTCCTTGAAGACAGGAACAGAGTATCTTTCATACACTACTGGGTCCTTGGTGGCCAGCACAAAGTGGACACAGGAGGAGCTCAGAAAACGTGTGCTGGAGGAATGAGCGAATAAACAGCTCTGCCAGGGAGGCCTAACCGTGCAGAGTGGCTAGAGCTGCCACAAGTCCGCCGCCCCCAGCCCAGCCTGCCCAGGGTGGACAAGGCTCTCACCTCTCTGGGCCGCTCCAGCTCTGTCTGTAGCACCTGCTTGGCCAGCTCAGTCTCAATGAGCCGCTGCCGAAGCTCCTCGTTCTCCTCCTCCAGGCGCGCCCGCTTCTTCTCCACCACCTCGAGCTCCTTATGCAGCCGCACGGAGATGTCCTTAGAGACCTGAGCAAGGGTGGGTGAGGAGCAGGGCATGGGCAAGCTGAGGGGCCACCCCATCTGGGCCATGGAGCAACCCCTGAGCTGGCAGTTTCTCTCATCATCTCCACTTAGCAGATGAGGAAACCGGGGCACAGAGAGGTTAAGTAACTCACCAAGGGTCACACAGCGAGAAAGAAGTAGAACCAAAACCCAAACTCAGGCACCCCATGTTCCTTTTGTCTATGTCATAGTTCAGCCCCCAGAAAGCTATAAAGGCCCTTTCTGTTCTTAGGAATGCCTTCTGATTTACCTGTGGCCCCTTAGTACTTCCAAAAGCCTCTCCTGGCGCCCCTCTTGCCAATCCTCGCAACAGCCTGTAGCTGGGCCAGAAGCTCATTTTAAAGGGAAGAGAAAGTCAGAGCAAGATGGGCAGCCCCAGAGCCGTTTACACTCCATCTCTGCCAGACCAGCGTGTGATCCTGGGCAAATCATTTCCCCATTCTGTGCCTCAGTGGCCCGAACTACAAACTGGGTGCAACAACGATAGCACCACACTCACAGGCCTGCCAGGGGGACTGAGTCAGCTCTTTCACAAAAGGCCTGGCCCACTGCCCGTACAGTGAGCGCTGGGTGAGTGGTGGCTGCTGCTCTGAGCAACTGAAGCCCAGAAAGGGGCAGGAGTTGCTGCAGGTCACAATGTGCCCCTGAGGCCTGTTTCCAATCATCTGAGATACAGAACACGCCCCAAATCACAAAGCCTGGGCCAGTGTCCAAGTCATCTCTGCAGAAAGGAGTTAACAGAGCTGCAAATTCCAATCACGGTTCTGGGACTCTACAGCAACAGCACCCAATTTCCTTGAGGCACCCTCTGTTCTGTCTGTCCCCGGCTGGTGGAGGTGAAAGGCCAGGAAAGGAGGCCTCTGGGGATGAGGAGGGCCCTTCTGAACTGGAAAGTCACAACCAGCCCTCTGCAGAATGGGCACTACCATTGGTTAAATACCTACTATGTGCCAGTTTCATTCATCTTCATCCTAATTCTGTCCTCATTTTACTGATAAGGAGATTGAGGCTCAGAGTACAAGTGACTTGCTCAGAGTCACACAAAGCTATTGTAGGCTAAGCTGGGGGAGCCCCAGGCATTTGGTTGAGGGGCTAGCATGGCCAGGCCTCCGGGGTGGGGGTGGGGCATCTCTTTTCCAGCAGGAGTGGGGCAGACAGCCCAGATCCCCCATGCCTGCCAGTCTCAGAAATGACCATGGCACCTCCTCCCTGCCGGAAGGAAAGAGGGCCCTCCCTGGCTCTGCCCTCTGCCTGGGCCCAGGCCCAGCTCGGCACAGACCCCTTGGCAGCGTGCAAGGCAGGCCAGGAAAAACAACGGCCAGAAAGGAAACTCAGCACTGCCTCCCCCTCCCTCCACTGCCCACGGCCTCTCTCTGTCCCTGCAGATCTCAGACGGCCAGGAGCTGGCCTGTGAGGACCCTCCTACAGCCTCACTAGGCCACCAACCTTTCCTCGTCCACAGAGTCGGGAGAGCAATCCCTCAGTGTCAGAACCAGGGCTTTGGAGGCGGGAAAACTAAATTTCAGCCCGATTCCAGCAATTTTTGAGTGTGTGACTCAGGATAAGTCAGTTAACCACTCAAAGTCTCTGTCTGGTTATCAGTAAAAGGGGTTGATCACAAGGGCCGCTGTGAGGAATAAATGACAGACTGCTTGGGCTGGTGGCTGGAATCTCGTAGGTGCTCAGAAAGTACATCAACTTTGAATGCAGTGTCAAGATTACTGTTTCACCTCTGTACACTGATTATATCTGACTTGGCCCTATAGCCCAAAACCTCCCTTTTCACTTTGATGTCAGGGTTGTTTCTGGAAATGTTGAGCCCCAGGCTCCTGGTGATGGTCCCCAGCTTGGGGCTTTTAAGTCACCCAGTGAGCCCCACTTCATTCACCCATTCTGATCACCACTTCATTCATTCATTCATTCATTCATCCATCCCGCTTAGGCCCTGGGGGCAGGAGTGCTGGGACAAAGGTCAAGGCCCCAGACCACGGCCAGGGCTCCTTCACATCTGTGTCCCAGCAGTAGCTCAGGGTCTGGCCCACATTAAGTGCTTAATAAACGCTTACTGGAAGAACAAACAAATCCAAGGCTACAGCAAGCAAAAAGGGAGAAAGATGAAGGAGTGAACAACTAAAATATGAGAGCTGCACCTGAGTAGCTTGGCTGGAGATGCTCCCCCCAAGTGCCCACCCCACCCACTGTCCAGGGTGCTATGTCCCTGACTGGGATGAGGGAGCAACTGCTGGGGGCCAGGGCTCCTCTCCAACTATGCTCCTACCTGGACCAGCTCCTCTCCATCTGGTGGGTTGCTCTGTCCCCACCACGGCCTCAACCTGGGGAGGCAACTGGCTCCTCACCAAGAAGTCGTAATCCATGTGGATTCCTGGATCCTCTTGGGTTCCTGAGTAACTCTATAGATTCCGTCCCTTCTGTGAGTCCCCAGTTGCATTCTGCCCTATTCCCCACGGGATCCCCTTCCACATGTGCTCCCCACTTGAGGGGTGTTCTGCTGAAAAGCCCAACCCCAGGCAGCTCACAGAATTCCAATGTGGACAAAAGAGCCCTTAATCCCAGATCCCAGAGCCTTGTGCCCCCAGTGGCAGCCTAACGGGAACAAAGAGTACGCTGGCACCAAGGGCAAGAGGTCTGTGGCCTGGGCCTGTGCCCGCCCCGCTGTGAGCCTCAGTGGTCCTGGGCCACCTTGGCTCTCATGCGTGATTGTAAAATCAGCTGTCACTTCCCAAGCACCCATCATGTGCCTTCCATCCTCTCAGGAAAGGCGTTATTATTCTCACTCCCAACCTCAGAAAGGAAGAATCACTTGCCCAAGGTCTCACAGCTGAGAAGCTACAGAACCAAGATTTGAAATGAGATAGGGTCAACTCTAGCCTACCCTCAACCTGACCCTGCTGTTGGCCTGAAGCTGGATGACACAAATTAATAGCCACACTAACAGTATCAATAGTAAGCCCAACAGCGGCTCACACTGCCAGGTGCTCATCGGGCCCCACCTGCCTATCTCATCAAATCATCTACTGATCCTCCCAAACCCTCCCACAGTAGGGGGGCTGAGCTACTACTGGGGGCGAAGCAGCCACAGCTTCCGGAAACCAGGGCAAATCCCCAAAGCACAAACAAATGCCCTCAGTCATGAGGTCACTGTTTACAGCACTGGGACTTGGCTCCTGCCAAATGCAACCAGCAGCCTCCGGGCCACAGCAGCCCTGCTCGCTCACTGATTGGCCCATCTGCCCTCAGCTCACGGGCCTCAGGGTGTCCCTGTCATTCTGAATCTTCTGGGAGGGGATGGGAACTCTCACTAAGGACCTTCCTCGCAGGGCAGCATGGGAGCTCTGTGTGGTGAAATAGGAAGCCTGGGAGGGTAGGGATGTCACCTCCACTTTACAGATGAGGAAACTGAGGCTCAAAAAAGGGAGGCACCTGCCCAGGTCACCCAGGAATTAAACCCAGCGCCAAAACTTTTTCTCTAGCAACAACTGTTTCTAAGAAAGGACACAGCTTGGTGGTGTGTCTTGGGCCTCCCACTGGAGTCCCTCCAGGTGGAAATTTACATCCTGGTTTCAGGAACCTGACACTCTCCACAGGATCCCAGGCCTCAAGGGTGGGGCCTGGGAATCTACCTGGTGAACAGGCCCTCCTGGTGATTCTTTTCCATCCAGGGCAGTCGTGATTCTGGCCTCCCTTACCCCACCCTTGCCCAGCCACTTGTCCTATTCATGCCTTCCAAGTTCTCATGAACACCACCACCACATCCAACAGCTGCCCATTTGCTGAGCATCCAGAGCCAGATTTTGTGCTTAGCATTCTCTTTACTTGAATTATTTCATTTTACCTTCGCAAAAGTCTCTAGAGGTAGGGACCAGTTTTAGCTCCATTTTCCATATGCGGAAACTGAGGCTCAGCGATGTGAAGGAGCTTACCCAAGGCCACGCAGCAAGCAACTGGCGGAGAAGGTCTCCAGCCCCTGCCTCCACCCTCCTCAGGCCAGGCAATGTTCCCACTGAGGGTCTGTGAGTCCTGTCAGCTGTGAGGACTGGCAGAGGGTGATAGAGCCTGGTAGGGCGTGGAGAGGTGGGGGTGGGCTAGGGAAGGGTGGGCCTGAGGTTCCATTCATGGCGCTCTCATCAATAACCTACCTGCTCAATAAAACCAACAGAGCCACAAAAGCCCTGAAGATTCAGTTGATTTAAACCCTACATTTAACAGAAGGGGGAACTGAGGCCCCAAGACTTAAGAGGTGGGGGCCAGTTGGGGCATGGGCCAAGGAGCTGGCAGAGCAAGTCACAGAGTCCCCCTGGATACCCTTCTAGGCAGCCCAGGAACCCCTCCCCACCTGGGCCCACCAGCCATCCCTGGAGATGCCAGGGAAGTCAGCACTTTGAGGACCTTCAGTTAACTGCCCCAGAACACCCCCAGCACGCCAGGCACGGTGGGCTGGCCAGAGGCATCCAGCCCAGGCCTGTGTGGATGAGCTCAGCGCTCCAGCTGCAGGGACTGGGAGGGGGGGAGGTAGAGGGGCAAGGCTGAAGCTGATTGGCTAGTTCAAATCCCAACAGAAGGGGCTGCTCCACTCCCCTCCCCTTCCCTCCGCCCAGACTGCAGAGGCCCCCTCTCACCACTGCACGCAGGCATCTCTCTCTCTCTCTCTCTCTCTCTCTCTCTCACACACACACACACACACACACACACACCCCTCCACACCCACCCACCCGGCTGCTCTCAGCCCCTCCATAGAGGCCCCTGGCAACCCAGTTCCAGCGATCCTCCCCTCTTCTTGATCCCTCTAAGGCTGAATTTGTGTCCCTGCCTGAAATCCCCATCTACCTGGGTCCAAACGCAGATTCCTCTGAGCTTCCCAGGCTCTTCCTCACCCCACACACTCCCAATCCAATGTGGGGCACTTGAGTATATGTGTCACCATTTATCCCGAGAGCTGCCCTCTCAGGTAGAGGTGCACTTTGGACTCAGAGACAGAGCCTTCCTGAGATCAGTTTCCTCACTGTACAGCGGACCATCAGCCCGCTGTGCACGTAAGACAACAGAGCAGCGGAAGCCTGAGTGCGCTGGCACTCACTGTTCCCCTCCCACACCCTTCCAGGGACCCCCTTCTCCAGCATTCCTCCTTCACCTCCCCACACGTACCCCCCTTCTCCCACAGGCCTCAGCTCAGACGTCACCCCACCCCTGCAGGAAGACTCCTGCGGGGCCCCACGCTGCACCAGGTGCCCCACCCCCAGTGCCTACATCCCGCTGATTGCACTGGACTGAGTTCTGAGAGCAGGGAGCCGTGTCCTCCCCCTACCAGGTGCTCAGCCCCTGACCAGGCTCATGCAGGCAGGGTGGGCCTTTCTCCTGGAGGCCCCACCTGCTGGTTTCCAAACACCGCCCCCCACCCCCTGCCCCCTAGACTCACTGGGGTCGAGGGAGAAGGTCAGGCAGAGGCATGGGAGGCTGATGAGCAAGAGCTCTGCCAGAGACCCCGTGTCATGGACCCTGGACAGGCACTTCCTTTCTCTGAGCTGCACTTTCCTCCTCTGGAAAATGGGAATAGCAGCAGTTAACATTCTGTGGTGTTTATAGTGACTTTTTACCCATATACCTCATCTAACCCTCATAGAGCCTGTGAGGCAGGGCTGCCGTTACCCCATCTCACAGACGAGGAAACGGTGACTCAGGCGACTTGCTCAAAATCACAGAACGGGGGGCATATGAGAACCAAGATTGAAACCAGCCCAATCCAACTCCAGGCCTTCACTAGTCCCCATTAATTAGTGCAATAAAGAAACCTCCATGGAACTGTGCAGGGACGGCTTGGAGCCCAGCTCCAGGTGTGGCTGCCACTCACACAGCAGCTGCTGTTAGCAGGATTCATATTATATTGCTTTGGGATATCGCTGGTCAACGCCCTGTCAGTTCACCAGGGATCCCCACTTTACAGATGAGGAAGTTGAGGCCCAGAGAAGCAGTACCACTTGCCCAAGGACACACAGAGTGAGCAGAAGGCTGACCTGGGTCCTGCTCAGGCTCGTAGTGCCACCCCACAACAATGAATGTTGGTGGAGGTCCTGGGCTTACCTTGACATCCTGCTCCAGGCCTCGGATGAGCTCGCCGTCCACCTGGCCAGTCTGAGCGGCACGGAGGCTGCGGCGCTCGGCCTTGCGCAGCCGGTACTGCAGGATGCGGCAGGTCTTACTGGCCTGGTCCAGCTGCTGGCGCAGCTCCTGCAGCTGGTACACGTCCTCCTCCATGTAGACGTCCCGCATCTCCAGCATCTCTGCTCGCAGCTCCTCAATCTCGTCCTACAGGGGGAGGGGGCGATGAGGTCACTAGGCCCTGTGCCCAGGTACAGGCCACACCCAACTTGGTCCTAGGTACCCTGGAGGGGAGACCTGGGTGTGGTTGGCTGAATAATACTCCCTGCCTCCAAAGATGTCCATGTCCTAATTTCCAGAATCTGTGAATATGTTACCTTACGTGGCAAAAGAGACCCTGCAAATGTGATTAAGTTAAGGATCTCAAGATTGGGAGATGTTCCTGGATCATCTGGATGGCCCCATATGTAATCACAAGGGTTCTTATAAGAGGGAGGCAAGGGGATCAAAGTGGGAGGAGGCAATGTGATGTGATGACAGACGTAGAGGATGGAGGGATGTGCTTTGAAGATGGAGGAACGGCCATTAACAAAGGCATGCTGGCAGCCTCTAGAGGCTGGAGGAGGCAAGGGGCCCTCCCCGGGAGGCTTCACAAGGAATGCAGCCCTGCCGACGCCTTCATTTTCGGACTTCTGACTTCCAGAATTATAAGGCAATAACCTGGAATTGTTTGAAGCCATTAAGTTTATGGTAATTTGTTACACCAGCAATAGGAAACTAATACACTGGGGAGCGGCTCATTCAACAAGCCTTTATGGCCGCCAACTATGAACCAGGTGCTGGGCCAGCATGGGGGTGGGGAGCAACAGGGTGACCAAGGCTAATGTGGCCCCTTCTGTATCTTCTGCATGAAGCTCCTAGTCTCACTGGGGAGACACACAGTAAACCAACAAATAAAACAAATTAAATACTGTCAAGAGCTATAAAGACAAAAAACCAAAATATGAAGACAAAAAAAACCAAAATATGAAAATCAACCACCTGGGTAATATGATAAAGTAGTACTATGTTAGAAGATGTGGACAGGGAGGCCATCTGTAAAAAAGGGCGATTTGAGCTGAGGCAAGAAGAAACAGTCGTGCAAAGAAACACCACGGAGAGATTACGCTGGACAGAGGGAACAGTGCATGCAAAAACCCAGAGGCTGTAAAGTATTCAGTGTGTCAAGATACAGCAAGGAGGCCAGGGTAGCCACAGGGCTAAGTTAAAGCTGAGGAAACAGATCAGCCATCCAGGGCCTTGGAGGGCTGAGTAAGGAGTCTGGATTCGTGTTTTAAGAGAAGGGGTGACCTCACTTCCTCAGGGCCGCTCCTGCCCACCCCTCTCAGCAGCTCCCGAATATGCCTCACTTCCCCTTTGTCACCATAAGCACATATGCAGTTCTTTATTTAAGAGTTTTTCTCCCAGAGACACCATGTCTGGAGGGCCACCTTGCTTCCTGATGCATCCCCCGCCCCCAGCACGGGGCCTAGCATCTTGCAGGCTCCCAACAAATGTTAACTGAATGAATGAATACAAGCCACAAAAAGACCAATGTGAAACGAAGTATAAGGGGATGAGTGGGGAGCCCTAGCAGAAGAAATGGGTAATTATTATGTCTAATAACAAATGTGAAAACTGAGTCACATATGGAATAGTATCTACTTTTAGCGATTGGATAGATTAAATAAGATTGTGCACGAAAAAGAGAGACTCAGTCACGGATGACTGATCTCCCAAAGGTGTCCCTGGGGAGGCAGAGAAAGCACCCAAGGACAGTGCTGGAGGACAGGGGTGGAGCGGGGACAAGATGGGGGAAAACAACTCCGCAGGCTCTGGAGAGGGGGCCACAGTCGAGAACACTGGGTTCACCAGCCCTCTGAGCCTCCCCTTCCCCAAGGAAAATGGGTGGTTCCCTAGGAGGGGATGGTTGTCCAGTGGTCCTGAGACTGGGAGGGTCAATTTATTCAGGGGCAGGGTTAGGAAGCATTACTCTCCAGGCCAGTTCTTAGGATGAAAGCTCACCGGGTTTAACATCCATCTTTTTGACTCGTGGGACTCCTCCTCAAATGGCTCTGAACTTAGGAGAAGACAGAAGGGACAGGTATCTGTTTCTCCAAACCCCAAGAGATAGCGTCCCATTCCCACAATCGACAGAAGGGTGAATCCTCACTTGCCACCACAGGCTCTCTCCTAGGGGTGGGTTCAGCAGGACCAGTCACCAGGACCCCCACCCCCACCCCGATAAACACACAGACTCACCACCCCACCACCAAGCCAAGTGGAAAAAACTAAAAGTGGAACAGGAGGAAGTGGGACAGTCAATGATCACACCAGTTAAAGAAATGAGGAAGTGAGGGGTCCACACGCTGTTTCAGCAGGCGGATTAGAGAAGCCTGAAGGAAGCGGCACTCAGGAAGTGCAGGCCGGTCGGCTAAATCCAAGCTAAGCCAGCCTCCGGAAGGGCCTGTGTTCAAATCCTCATCATACTATTTACTAGCCCCCACTTATTCTCTCTGCAGTCACACCGACAGGACCTGGTGACGAGGAGGATGTGGACCTCTGAGCACACCCAAAGTGCAGGATGAGCCGAGGGGAAGTGCAGAAGGCTCAAGATGCTGCACTACATTAACAAGTAGGTGACATTTACATCCTGGGAGGCGACGTCCCTCAACAGAGGACCACATCCAGGGCACTGGAGTCATTTGGGGGCACTATTTATTTTTTTAAGTTTTAAATAACTGATTTTTCTCCTTATAATAGTAAACAGTGATCACAGAGACAGTGTTGAAAATACGAAAAACACAACCACTCATTATTTCTCCCTAAACCAGCAGCAACAGCTTCACTGGGGGACTTGTCAGAAATTCTCAAGCCCCAACAGAGAACTACTGAATCTGAAACTCCAGGGATGGGGCTCCCAAGGGACTCTGATGCAGGGTGTTTTCTTACAGGCTTCTTCCCTAAAAGGGCAAGAGTCATGTGTCTCAGCACCACAAGTCCCTAGCCCAGGGCCTGACACAGAGCAGGGTCTCAGTAAGCGTCTATTGAATAAGTGAATGAATGAATGATCTTTCTCACATGAGCAGCTGTCCCTCCAGGGCTGCCCTTCCCCACAGTCAATTTCTGAAAATGCAGGATGTTGCTTTCATGCCAGCTCCATCTCTCCATGGTGCCCAAGGGGGGCCCAGACCCCTGGGGGGCTTGTCCCAGCTGCAGGCAGAATGAGGTCAGCCCATCCTGGCACGGCCCATGTGAGAGGGCAAGTCCACAAAGGCCGGCTTGTGGCCCGCATAGGCTGGGGCTGCTGGGCCGTGGGCCGCAGACGCTGGGGAATGCAGGACTCAGGCCGGGGCTGAGCTTTCCGGGCCTGAGGTTAGGGCAGGGACAGGGGGCTGCTGGCACAGGGGGAGGGGAGCCAGGGGAGCAGGACCCTGCTTTATTCCAGAGACCCTAAGGCCTCACGGAGCCTCCGAATCTCCCAGGGCTCTTCAGCTCTACAGACCCGGCCCCTGTCCCTGGAAAGCTCTCCAGTGACTGTCTGATCCAACTAAGGGATGGGGGTGGGAACTCGGCCTTTCCAGCTCCTTGCTGAGCCTCTCCCTGTTCCCAGGCACCCCCAACCGTGTGACAGTGGGGGAGGAGGGGCCAAATCCACTGGATTCAGCAGGACTAGCAGCTGGCTACCCAACAAGGTTATCAGAGCCCCCCAGTATCAATGGGGAAACCCCAAACCTCTCCCTCCACTGCAGACAAAATAAGGCCATGGTGTCCAGCAGTGCCCACCTCAGAGCCTTGAGGCCCCCGATCACCCCCCATCAGAAAAGTCAGCCTAAAGAAGCTGGGGAAAGGCACCCAGACCATGCATGGCCTGCCAGCCCTCCACACCCATACCCTCTGGCCACTCCTGCCAGCTGCCCTCTCTTTTAACCAGGACTGAGAACAGGGAGTGGAGGGGACGAGGACAAGGACAAGGGACCGGAGCGGGGCACCCACACTGCAACCTGGACAGTCAGCCTTTCCCTTTATAGAAAATGCTTAAGTTTGCCGATTACACTGGCTTCTGCATTAGGTCCAGCCCTCTACCCGGGGACCCAAGCTGCCCCGGGTCTCCTCCCCGCTCCGGGCTCGCCCCGACCTTGCATCCTCCGCGCCCCACCCCGGCCCGGCCAGGCATGCCACCGTTAAAAATAAGCTACCGCCTATTCTGATGGTTGACCGAAGTCAGAGAAAGATAAACACCCACGACTTCATTTATATGTGGGATCTGAAGAACAAAATATTGATAAATGAACAAAACAGAAAGAGACTCGGATGCAGAAGCAGACTGGTGGTTGCCAGGAGAAGAGGGTTGGGGGCTGGATAAGAAAACTAAAGGGATTAAGCAGCACAAATTGGTAGTTAGAAAATAGTCATGGGATGTCAAATACAGCGTAGGGAATATAGTCAATAATATTGTAATGACTGTGTATGGTGCCAGATGGGTACTTGAGTTATTGGAAAGATCACTTCATAAGTTATATTATTGTCTAGCCACTATGTTGTGCACTGAAACTAATATAAAATAATATTGAATGTCAACTTTAATTGAAAAAAATAAAAATAAATAAGTAAATAAATAAAAAGCTACCACCTATTGGGAAACTCACTAATTATCAGGCCCCAGCCCGAGCACGGGATGTGCACAATTCTCTCCCCAGCCCTTTGAAATAGATACTGAAAATGTTCCCATTTTGTGGGTAAGGAAACTGAGGCTCAGTTTTCCAGACCTGCCCAAGCAAGGGAGGGTAGAGCTGGAATCCAAACAGGCCCTGGGACCTCGGGCTAGTGCATTTTAACTGTTCTACACCCAGGTTTGCTTGGGCTCTTCCCTCTGCTGGAATGGCTTTTGCCAGGCTAACTACTAATAACTTCATCCTTCCAGAACATTCCCTCCTCCTCCAATCGGATTCAACTCCCACACTCTGAACTCCATTCATCTCTTGTGCTAACAACTTTAGGCTACATTTGCCTGTTTCCAAGTCTATCCTCCCCGAGAGCTGGGGGGAGAGCAGGTGCTGGCTCTGCCTCGCGTCTGGTCCCCAGCATCGCTCAGGGTGTGGTACAGGGCATCACTGTCTCTGGGTGAATGAACGAATGAAAGAATGAGCGTGGCTTCTGTCCTGCCC